CGTAGTCAAATCTAAAGCTCCCTAATAAAAAATAAAATGCAGTATGCATCACAGTAAAGTGTAGTGAAATGTATCTCAATACTAATCGTATAAATCATAGCCAACTAAAGCCTCTGCGGAGAGAGCTGCAACGCCTTAAAAGTTTCCTTATCTTTTTTATAGACTGCTGTTCAGCAGCCAGTACCCACGGAAGTCAGGTCAGTGATATACTGTAGTTCTACCTGTAGGTACAAAATGAGAGTATAACATTAAGTTACATAATACATTGCTTTCAAATGCGCCCTATACCCTGCTATTTTCTGTTTAACGGAGACGATTTTACTTCCCAAAGGGAGAGCGCTGGCGCTTAATGGCTTGATCAGACTATCTGCCCGAATGCCCGTGTGTGTAGTTAACCCATTAAGTTGCATTGCACCCTAACACAGCGTTTACACATGACGTCACAGCCGCCATGTTGGTGTTCCAATGGACGACTTGTGCATTAGACTAAATTTTAATCTAAGTAAGAACAACGAAATCTATCACCATAGCTAGAAAGAGCGTCTTGGAATCAGTGGCGTGCTGGGTACTATTTTTCTGGAGGGGCCAGTGGGCTGTCAACCAATATGCGCCCCTATAATGTTACACTTGATAAACGAGGGCCGAAGGCACGAGCCGAGTGCCGCAGGTGCGAGGTTTGTCTAGGGGGGTCCGGGGGCATGCCCCCAGGAAAATTTTTGAATTTAGAGTCTCTGAAATGCCATTTCCTGGACTTTGGGGGAAGATTTGACAGAAATCTGATGGTCAGGAAACGGCATTATAACGTGTCGAAATTTGCAATTCGGTTAGAATTTAGTAGCAGTACTTAAATTTTTGCAATGCTAACTACTTCCAGCGATTAATCTAATCCCAATTCTGTTCTCTACTAATCTACTGTTCTGAGTACATTTACAACTTAAAGCTCTTTTATACAATAACACAAGCAACCCACGCATATGCATTTTAAGGTTTCCTTGCCTGGCTGCCAAAAGGGCATGTTTCAGCATTATTTCATTGCTTACATTACTCATGCTTCTTGTGCAAACAACTAAATTGCGTACACAACTAAACATCAGTTATCATAACTTCAACTATCTAATTTGCGCCGCTCTCGTGATTCGTGAAGCATAATAAAGGGCATAATATAAGGGCATAATACCAGCAAAAAAGGGCATAATTCCTGTGATCGCTTCGATCGAAACCTGACCAATATTCCGGTAATGAGACATTGCCTGTGATCACTGATCATGTTTCTATATGAACGATTTCGTGTGAGCTGTGAGGTAGCAAATACGGTTATAGGCAAAATAGTCTGTAATTTAATATATGTCGCCTATATGCGCTTAGTCTGTTTTATACTGTAGCCTATAAACATGTCTTTTCTTGGCGGAAGTAACCATATTTTTTCGAGAATGCGTTTTTTCCCACCCACTTTCAAAATTCGGCGCCCCATTTTCATTTTTGCGCCCCCCAAGAATTGCCAGCTGGGGGCCCTGCCAGCACGCCACTGCCC